GAAAATATGAGATGTTTTAAGTGCGTGTTTTGCATGCAGGTATGTAAGTGTTCCCATGTTGCGCATTGCCCATAGAAGTCAGAAGAGGGTGTCAGATCCTCTAGAACTGTGGGTGCTGGGAACTGAACCCAGGTCCTCTGGAAGAGCCAGTGCTTTTAACTGCTCAGCCATCTCTCCAGTCTCGCCTCCTCCCCCACTCCAATTCTTTTTTAAGGGGTCTATCTTGGTTTCTTCCTACTTGCTTTAAAAAAATACCTTAAACTGGGCAGTTTACAAAGAATAGACATTTATGGGTTTCTTTTTGCTGTTGTTTTTATTTGTTTTTATGAGACACGGTCTCTCTGTAGCCCCAGCTGGCCTGGAACTCACTGTGTAGACCAGGCTGGCGTCGAACTCACAAAGATCCACCTGTCTCCTCCCAAGTGACATTTATGTATTTGTTGTGGGGTGTGTATATGTAGGTTGTATGCATGTAGGGACCAGGGGCAACTTCCACTTTTGTTCCTCAGGAGCTGGCTACCTTGGTGTTTTGGTTTTGTTTTGTTTTTTTGAGACAGGGTCTTACTTTGTAGCCCTGGCTGGCCTGCAGCTCTATGTAGACCAGGCTGGCCTTGAATTCAGATCCTCCTGCCTTGCCTTTGGTGCTTCACCACACCTCTGCCCAGTACTTTTTTTTCTAGACAGGGTCGTTTCATAAGCCCTGGGAACAAGCCCCAGGGATCTTCCTGCATCACTTCTCCAGCACTGATATTACAAGTATGCATAACTACACCCAGCTTTTTAAAGGTGATTTCTTTTTACATTGATTTATTGTGTGTGTGTATGTGTGTGCGTGCGTGCATGCGTGCGTGCGTGCGTGTGTGTGTGTGTGTGTGTGTGTGTGTGTATGCGCGTTAGTGCCACAGGGTTCATGTGGAGGTCAGAGGATAACTTCTGGGGTCACTTCTGTCCTTGTACCGTGTGGTCCCCAACATTGAACTCAGGTCTTCAAGATTGTGTGATAATGGTTCTTATCCACTGAGCCAACTTGCTGTCCTGCGCCTGGCCTTTTACATGGGTGCTGGAGAACAGAGTCAGGTCGTCAGGCTTGCATACAGCAAGGCCTTTATGAACCGAGCTCTCCCTTTAGCCCCAAAGAAGAAGACATTGATTTCTCAGAGTTTAGGAAGTCTCAGATGAAGATGCCATCAGAATCTTTGGTGAGGATTTGCTTTCTGTTCCACAGTGGTGCCTGTTGTGTCCTTGTGTGGCAGAAGGACAATGAGGCCCAGTGGGTTCTTTCAGCCCCTTTATAATGGCTCACTAACCCCACTGGCATCCTACTCACCTTTTAATACTACTGCATTGGGGATTAAGTTTCAGCATAAATTTTGGAGGGGCACAAACTTTCAAATCATAGAGGAGATCTGTCACTTAAGACAATTTTGATGTTTTAAGAATTTATTATTATTTTAAATATTTTATTATTTTATTTTATGTGTATGTGTTTTGCCTGCATTTATGTAAGTGCACCCATGTCATGCAGTGCCTGCAAAGGTCAGAAGAGAGTGGTGAGTTCCCCTGGAACTGGAGTTACAGATGATTGTTAACTGCCATGTAGGTGCTGGGAATTGTACCTGGGTCCTCTACAAGAGTGGCTAGTGCTCCTAACTGCTGAGCCATTTCTCCAGCCCCTATTATTATTATTTTATGTGTATTTTGCTAACATGTATGTAGGTACACCATGTGTATGCAATGCCTGGGGAGACCAGAAGAGGTTGTCTGAGCCCCTGACAGTGGAGTTATGGACAGTTATAGACACCATGTGGGTGCTGGGACCCGAATTGGGAACTTGAAGCCAGGGCTCTTAACTGCTGAGCCATCTTTCCAGCCCTGATGGGGTTTTTTGTTTTGTTTTGTTTTTTAAATATTTTATTATTCTTTATTATGTTGCATGTATGAGTGTATTGCCTGCATATATGTAAGTGCAGCCATGTTGTGCAATGCCTGTGGAGGTCAGAAGAGAGCATTGGATTCCCTGGAACTGGAGTTATGAACAGTTGTTAGCTGTCATGTAGGTGCTGGGAACTGAACCTGGATCTTCTACAATAACAGCCAGTGCTTTTAACTGCTGAGCCATCTTCCCAGCCCCAGCCCTGGTGCTTTTATTTTTATTTATTTATTTATTTTGGGGGAGTTATTTTGTAGCCCCAGCTGGCTTGGAAGTTGCTATGTAGACCAGGCTGGCCTTGAGCTCACAGAGATTTGCCTACCTCTGCCTCCCAGAGTGCTGGGATTAAAGGCGTGCACCATCATGCTCATCTCTGGTGGTTTTGAGACAGTCTTGCTGTATAGCCCTGACTGGCCTGGTTTGTGGCAGTTCTCCTGCCTTTACCTCTCTAGTGGTGGGGTTACAAGCACAAAGACTACATCTGTTTGAAAAACATTTTTTTTTTAAAATTACATTTATTTGGGGGGTGCATTCATGTCATGTGACAGTCTGAGGATAGCTTACTGGAGTTGATTCTCTCTTTCTATTTGTGGGACCTAGGGTTGAATTCAGGTTGTCTGGCTTGCCTGGAAGCACCTTTATCTGCTGAGCCATCTCATCAGTCTGAAAACATTATTTTAAAAAACTTTCAAGCTGGGTGTGGTGGCATATGCCTTTAATCCCAGCACTCAGGAGTCAGAGGCAAGCAGATCTCTGTGAGTTCAAGGCCAGTCTGGTCTACATAGAGAGTTCCAGACCAGCTGAGAGTATAGGGAGACCCTGTCTCAAAAAGACCAAAAAAAAAACAAAAAACAAAAACAAAAAAACTTTTCAGTATCTTAATTGCAGCAGGAAAATACTCTTTTCTCCATTCTCTGAGGTTTCAGGATACGCCTATGCTGTTGAGATGATGAATATGGTATATTAAAGCTGCTGATCAGTGTCCTCCATTTTACTGAGAGTCAGAAATCATCGTTTGGCTGGGTCCCGAGTCGTGCTGTTTCTGTTCTGCAGCAGTTGTTTACTATTAAGTCCACGGGCCTCTCCCGACTTTAACATCTCTTCTTGCTGGTTTTAATGCTGTTCTCTCAATTTTTGTTCTTTAAAGAAAGATCTTTGTAATAAATTTGTTAGTCTGGTTGCTTAGGAGCTTGCTATGATGAGTTGCTTGGAACCAGATATATTGCCATCTGAAAATCTTGCTTTTCAGCCTCAATTCAGGTATATATTGAATCTAAGCATGGAACTGTTGAATTTTTATTTTATTTTTTGCTATTACAGCAGTTGTTTCATGAGTACAAACGATTATTTCTTTAGTGTTTAGTAGAAACTGTCTTTATGATCATCTATTTCTTTGATCTTTGTGGTTTCTTTTTCCCTTCTTGCCGTCATAGCTT